CAAAAATGATCCAGGGATGGGGGCTTCTTTTTTTTTTTTTTTTTTTCGGTACGCGGGCCTCTCACTGTTGTGGCCTCTCCCGCTGCGAGCACAGGCTCCGGACGCGCAGGCTCAGCGGCCATGGCTCATGGGCCCAGCAGCTCCGCGACGTGGGATCTTCCCGGACCGGGGCACAAACCCGTGTCCCCTGCATCGGCAGGTGGACTATCAACCACTGCGCCACCAGGGAAGCCCTGGGGACTTCTTAAAGTTGCACATTCCTGGGGTGTGGTCCAGGAAGCTGCCCCCCCTCCCCAGGTGATTAGGGGGATCCTTGACCATAGCTGTGTCACCAGCTCCCAGCAGGGGCCGGGCAGGTATTGGTGGAATGAATGGATGAAAGAGCCCCGCTGAGCGCGTCACCAGCTGCTCCCCATCTCTGCTTTCACTGAGCAAAGAAACGAGAACACCTGTTCCAGCCCACGAGGCTTACCAGCTAGCTTTAAAACTGTTCATTTTATGTTTTAAGTGTGGGTTATAGTTATTCGTGAATAGCTATGACATTCATGGGTCCAAGTTCAAAAGGGGCTTAGCAACAGTTTCCCTCCTCCTGTCTCTCACCCACTCAGTTCCCTTACGTGCAGGCAGCCAGAGGCATCAGGTTCTTCTAAGTCTTTCCAAATAAATGTTATGCGTCACCAGGCTGACATGAACATATCTCCTCCCCTTTCCTGCATTTATATAAATGGTGATATACATGCTGCATAGTATCCTGTGCCTCGCTTTGTTCCCTTCATTGTATTTATAACTCAGAGAGAAGTTCTTCATATCAGTAGGTAAAAAGCAACCTGAGCCTTTTTTATGGCTGTGTAGTATTCTGAGGGAGGCTGCACAATCATATATAAGCGTTTGTGTTCAGTCTTTTGCCCTGGCACACGATGCTGTGATGAGTAACCTGTGTGTAACTGCCTGGGGGACATAAGTTGGGTACCGTGTGAAGGCTGCCGGTGAGTCAGGCTTGGTGACTTCGAGATTAAAAAGAAAACTAGCCCTCCTTGGAGGCTTTAAGCATGCAGCATAACTGCAGGAGTGGCTTTTTTGGGGGGCTCTTGGAGGCAGGGGGTGGCCAGGAAGACCCTAACTGCCCTCTGGTAGGAGGAACCCATCATGTGTATGCTCTCACCCCAAATGGCTCACCCGCACCCATCCACCCATCTGCTCCCACACAAGCCAGCCAGAGCCTGGCTGGAGGAAAGGGATGGTCTGACTTGGGAGGGGTCGAGAGGGCTGGGCTCAGGGTTCTGGAGCAGAAGAGCATGGGAGTTCTGTCCCTCCCACCTTTGGGCAGCTCTGCTTTGTGCGGGGCTCTGAGTATAGTGGGGAGGGGCACCCTCGGCCTGGTGCATGGAGAACCCTCAGGGCATGAGAGGGGCTTGGAGGGATCTAGAGCAGGTCCTGCACCCCCTCTAGGGGGATTCATGTTCACCACTGACTCTCCAGCATCCACAAGAGTCGTGGACATAGTAGGTACTCAATAAGTTTTTGTGGTCCAAATGACTAAATGACCCCCAGTCCCCGCAAAAGATAACCCAGTGGGATTCCCCACGTCTCTCCGATGAAGCGAGGGGTTTGTAACCATAAGGCAGCTTTTACATGGATTCCCATGTTTCCTCACATGCTGATTCAGTGTAGGAAGTCCTCCCTCAGCTCCTCAGTGACGTTTCCTGAGATAATCAACTCCCATGGTCACTTTGGGTCACTGGTGGACATTATGGTATGCCACCTGACCCCCTCTTCAGGGCAGAGGCATTAATTCCCCAGCTGCTATAAGTGTTGGCTTCCGGCTGCTCACAGCAAGTCCCTTTCCTGGAATCGTCTACTGCCAATTTCCAAGGTTACAGTCCCTCCTTGGGGGCAGCTACATCCAATGTGGGGAGACAAAGGGCAGGCTGCTTGTCTTAATTCAGGACAACTCCGAGGGCCCAGCCCCAGAGCATGCCAGGGGATTTCCCAAAACCTTTGTGGTCACTACATCCCAGTTCATCGTCTCCCACTGCCCCCCAGACTCCCTCCCACCTATGGTTCCTAAGAGCACCCTCCCACCATTCCCCCCACCCCGCCCCCGGCCCAGAAACCTCCTGTGGGCAGAATCTGTTTCCGGGAAACAGACATAAAACAGTCACCAATCTCAATTCAGAGGTTTGAAAGTTGAATCCCACACAAAAGAAAACCCCTTAATTTGCTTTTATGAAATTAAATCTATCCCCCCACAAAAGGTGATAATTATGTGATGGGATAGAGGTATCAGCTAACACTACAGTGGTCATCGTATTGCAATATATAAATGTATCAAATCAACACGTTTGTACACCTTAAACTTACACAACGTATATGTCAATTATATCTCAATTTTTAAAAAGTTAAGTCTTTCCCATTAGGATTTAATGCAGCTGCAAAACTTAGAACTCTGGAAAGGGGATGCTTGGCTTCTTTCTTCCCCTTCTATCTGTCCAGCTGGCAAGTGGTGGTTCCTAAACTGTAGTAGGTTGAATAATAGCCCCCAAAAGATATCAAGGCCCCAATCCCTGGAACCTGTGTTATCTCATATAGAAAGAGTCCTGGCAGTTGTGACTAAGAGTTTTTGAGCTAAGATTATCCTGGATTATCTGGGTGGGCCGTAAATGCCATCACAAGTGTCTTTATAAGAGAAGCAGAGGGAGTGACATACACAGAAGGAGAAGGCAACGACCACACAGGCAGAGATTGGAGCGATGCAGCCACCAGCCGAGGCATGCCGACAGCCACCAGAAGCTGGAAGAGGCAAAGGGTGGATTCTCCCCTAGGGCTCTGGAAGGGACCCGGCCTTGCGGACATCTTGATTTCAGCCCATTGAAACTGGTTCTGGACTTCTGGCCTCTAGAACTGTGAGAGGATAAATTTCTGTTGTTTTAAGCCACCAAGTTTGTGGTAATTTGTTAGAGCAGCTGCAGAAAACTAACGTGATTGCAGGAGAAGGGAGGGGAGATTGGTGTTAGGGAGGGAGGGAGGCAGCAGGAAAGTTCTTGCTCCTGGGCGCCACCACAAGATGCTCTACAGGGCTGGCAGGACTTAAACTGGTGCTTTCTCTCACTCGGGCTCCCCTGGCTCCTCTACTGATGCCCCACATCCCCCATGAGCGGTTGGAGGAGGCTCACTTGCACTTAGCTGATGCAAGGGCCGCTTTAGCCGTCAGCTCATCTCTCCAGCCTTTTGCAGCTCCAGGAATCTGGCAAGGGCTTCAGCTTTTGTCTACTGAGCTCATTCACTGCTCCAGGCTGCCCTATTGGTCAGGTTTGGGGACAACCTCACACCAGCTTCCCCTTGTGCACGACCCCCTTCTGTCCACAAGAAACACTTGTGCACCTTCTGCCTCAGCAAATTCCAAGCGGGGTGGGGGTGGGGGGAGCTGACTCTCTTCAGAGAAAGAAGCACGTGGTGACCGGGTTTATGGATCCCTTTCTCCTTAGTCTGTGTGAGGGCAGACACTCCGGATGACCATCTTTTTCCACCATCATGTTCTCCACGACCCACCTGAAAACAGCATCTCTGGGTGTTTTCTGAGCATCTCAGGCTCTATGGAGCCAAAATCTGGCCTCAGTCATCAAGACCTCAAGTCACCAAGTTTTATTTTCTTCAGGGGACTCTTAAGTCCTAATGTCAGGGCCATAAAAGAAAACATATGAAAAGGACACAGGGGGGACTAACAACCTCACTCCACGAAACCCATGGCTCCTATCCTGCGCCACGTCCAGCTAGACAGAGTGTGGCACAGCAGAAAACAAGAGGGACAAGACTCTGCTTTAGAGGGCTTTCTAGCTGGTGGAACGGAAATGACAAATGGGAGAGACAATGAGAATTTGCTGATGTCTGAAACGTTTGCGTGTTTGAAACGACAGTCAGTTCTCATGTCCCCCTTGGGTTCTTGCATTCCATGTCTGTTGCCTTTTTTCCAAAGGACAATGTGACCAGAAATCAGGCTGCACCTTTGCCCTTGAACCTGATAAATATCGCTCTGTGGTATCCGGAGAAGCCTGAGGCTGACACGACTTCATCTCTGCTGCTCTTTCCTGCCGAGTGTCCCTGTGATCCAGTCAGCTTTTTATAACTTTAGTTTTTAATCATGAAATACAGAGAAGTGCAGTTAACATACACACACATTAAAGCAAATAATCAAATGAGCATCTGTACACCTCAGGCAGTTCACCTGGCTGGCTGTTTGGAAACTGACTTCAGTGCAGCTCTGGGGATGGGCTGCACCCCTGGGGGGGCTCAGCCTTCCCCCTCCCCCCTGAGTCTCCCTCAGAGGCTCCTTGGGAAGATTAGAATCAACTAGGCTCAGATCATAGAAAATTTTATAGACCCAATGTATGCCCGGGAAAGAAAGACATACGCAGGAATGTTGGCCTTCAATGTATCCCGGTCGAACCTTCAAGTTTGTAATATTCAATTCGACCATGACAGTGAGTGAATGAATAAATGAATGAATGCCAGGAGCATTAGCTTGACCTCACATACAAAGTGACTGTAAAACGTCATTGCAGGGGCTTCCCTGGTGGCGCAGTGGTTGAGAGTCCGCCTGCCGATTCAGGGGACACGGGTTCGTGCCCCGGTCCGGGAGGATCCCACATGCCGCGGAGCGGCTGGGCCCGTGAGCCATGGCCGCTGAGCCTGCGCGTCCGGAGCCTGTGCTCCGCAACGGGAGAGGCCACAGCAGTGAGAGGCCCGCGTACCGCAAAAAGAAAAAAAAAGTCATTGCAGCTTCTCACAGCAGAAGTGAGTTTTCAATGCCACGACCATGTTGGGGTCTTCGGTGAGGATTTCAGGGGCTGGGGCACAGGGGAAGGAATCAAGCCACTGCCCAGAGGGTGATCCTCCACCCCTCCCCGGGAGCCAAAATGTCCCCAAGAGCTCCTGCTGTGCCTCACTGCAGGGGACCAGAGCCTCTGGCCAGGAGCTTCCGGGGGCGGGGGGCGGGGATGGGCTCAGGGCACCACGCACCACCACTTGAAGGAGAAGGGCTGCCGGCGCACGTTGGCGCCGCAGTGCACGTCCCCCTGCTGAACGTGGTAGGTGTAGAAGTCATCGATGAAGGTGCAGTGGAGGCCCAGCGGCTCCAGCAGGGACCGCACCTTCTCCTCCAGGCAACAGCGGCCGTTGATGATGGGCCCGAAGGGCTTGGGGATGCCCAGGTGCTTCCCCAGCACCAGCATGTTCACCTGCAAAGAAGCGGGAGCCCAGGTCAGGGGCGGCAGCATGCAGCCTGCGGCAACATCTGAGTGCCCCCTTCCTCTTCTGACCTTTGGAAATAACAGCCCCACTTCACAGATGAGCAAACTGAGGCCCAGGCCGGTAACGTGAGCTACTTAAGGCCACCCAGCGAGTCTAGGACTTATACTCAAATCTGTCGGACTCCGGGGTCCACATTCTTAACACTGCTCTCTCCTTCCCCACTGCCACCCTCTGGCAAACTCGATTACTCAAGGCCCAGCTCAAGTACCACCGCCTCCGTGAAGCTGCCGGTGAGTTAGTCATCTTCCTCTGTTTCCATAGCTCCCAGCACAGTGCCTGGCACAGAGCAGGCACTTAATAAATATCCGTTGATATGATCTGGTGATAAGTGACTACGTATTTGGGGCACTTTCCATATGTTATACCTTATGGAAGTGACTATGTTTCCTCCGTTATATTGGGAGGTGGCCTGGTGAGGTGAAAGGATGAGGATGTGGGCTCCAGGCCAACATGGATTTGAATCCCAGCACTACTATTATATAGCTATGTGGCCTTAGGCAAGTCACTTCGCCTCTCTGAGCCCCATCAGCAAAAAGAACCCAAACACATTTCCATTGCTGTGACAATTGGATAAGAACCTGTATGCAGAGTCTGTGCCAGCTCGTAGTAAGCATGGAGTCAGTCTCCAGGGCTTACGAGTCACTGAAGGGGCACCTCACCGCTCAGATGCAGCCCATGCCAAGTGCCTGGCACTCCTCATTTCTCCGCCTGTTCCACGCCCAGGCCCACGCCCCCACCGCCCATCACGGGGCTCCTGGGAGAGTCATGGCTCAGGCTCCAGCTCCCCCTGGAGCCTCGCACAGTGGAGGTACGAAGTTGGCCCTCAGCATAGCTGATTACTTCATCTGAGATGCCTCATCCCCCATCTGTCAGCATCAGCTTCCTTGCCTGTCTGGGCTAAACTGGAGAAAAAATGAAATGCTTGGGGCCAATTTTATTCCAGGGGTTAAGAGGAGGGTGCCCCCTCCTGTCTCATTTTAGCCAAGGAACCTTTATTCTGAACAAAATCTTCTGCAGCACTTCAGTGCATGAAACAGAAAAAATCTAAACCACTGCATTTGAGGTCCTACCTTGGAACCCCAGGGCCCTGGAGAACCCAGCTTGAAAAGCACTGTGCCAGGGACTACAGGCTCTTCCCTGAACTGTGATCCACAGCTGCAGCGGGAGACGGGGCTGAAGGACCCCAGTAGAATTGGGTGAGGTTTCTGCCTGGCCTTTGGGTATTCTTGGAAGAGACACAGCAAGAGGGCAGAGGGACGGGAAATATATACCAGGTGACTTCAAGATGGTGCTGGGGTCAGTTAAAAGTTCTCGACAAAAGTGGATCTCCCTCAAGTTCACCCTTCAGACAGGTGAATCCCACTTAGCCCAGGCAGTGCCAGCCTAACCTCCTCAGAGAGGCCTTCCTGGACCAGTCTGAAAAGGTGCCCCACCTTTATTCCCTTCATGGTACTTAATTCGACCTGAGAGCATCTTGCTTGTTGCTTGTCTCCGCCCCCCAGAACCTGCCCCATTCCTACCTCACCCGCCACCGAAAGTCCACAGGGGGCAGTTCAGCCAGACCCCAGGCTCTGAATCCCAGCTCTGAATCCCACCTCTTGCCAGGGACCTGGTCTCCCTGGGCATCATCTGTAAAGTGGGGGCGATGATAGTCCTTGACCCCCAGGTGGTTGCCTAAAGCCTCTGTAAGGCGGATAGGGCCGTGCAAACCCCAACGGGTGAGGAGACAACCAAGCCTCCTGGACCCAGTGCCCAGCTGGCCTCTCTGACTTAAGGCTACTCAGAAGGTCACTTCCTCACCATGTTTGGGAAAAAGGCTTCCACCTTGAGGGTCCCTTTGAAGCCTTTCTGGAGCTTGAAGAGCTGGGGGATGTCCACGATGTCCCCTTCCGTCACGCCCAGCTCCTGTTCCAGTCGATGCATTTCTGGGGGGGCGGGAGGAGGGGACGGCGGTGGGCGGGGCGGGGCTAGCACGGGGCGGGGCGCGGGCTGCCGTGGGGGAGGGGCAGGTGGGGCCGAGGCCCGGCCAGGGGAAGGACCACGGACAGGGTCAGGAAGGCGGTGATGGGCACCTCCTTTTCCTCCCTCCTTCCCTCCCTCTGCTCAGTCCCTCTGCCTCTCTTTTCTGCTTCTGTGTCCCTGCCTTTCCGGTCACTCCAACGCTTGGCCTCTCTCCTGCCTCTGTCCCTCTGTTTCTGAGAGTTTCCCCCATCTTTCTCCAGCTCCAGCTTTGCCAATTCTCTCTCTTCCGTGCATCACCTTGTGTGTGTTCCTGTAGTGGTGACCGAGGTCTCCTCTCTCTCTTTCTCTCTCTCACACACACATTGACCCAAATCCCAGGGCTGTTCATCACGGAGCCCGTGGAAGGCTCTGCCTTGGGCCTCTAACCACAGGGAAGGGGGCTGGAGGTGGGGGTGGGAGTGTCGGGTCTGCCCAGGATATGGCATCTCCTGGGCAGCCAGGCTAGTACCTCCACATATGAATTATGTTCTCTCAGTTTCTCGTTTGACAGAATGTCCTTTATTTTCTGCTGGGTTTTGTCTGTCATGGAGAAAAAGAAAAGAAAAAAAGCAGATGAATTCAGAGGTCCATTTTGCTCTTCCCAGCAGGTCCAGTTGGGGCTCAGTTTTCCCATCTATAAAATGGGGGCAGCAATGATTCCTAAAATATAGGTTTATTATGAGCATCTGGGAGGCAGATGACTTTAATAAAATAATCTATCAGGGTAAGTTCTCATTAAGAGTTTTACCTTTGCTCCCTTAAATTCTCTTATCTCCAAAGGGATCCCGTTTCTGGAGGGGCAAACAGAGGTCTGACCATTGCCTGATGCTACAGGACATATACAGATATTAGGTGAAAACTCTCAGCCATGGTGACTTCAACCTCTGACTGTGACCAGTGTCTGTGGATTTCACTGAAAAAAAATTTCATTCTGTGCTCCACCCAGACTGAACTTTTTTCAGGTCCTCAAACACATCTTGCGTTCTCCTGCCTCTGTGCCTTTGCTGTTCCTTCTGTCTGGAATATCTCTCTTCCTTCCATCCCACTGCCCCATTTGCCTGGCCAACTCCTGCTCATCTCTCACGCTCATGCTTGATCTTCGCCTCCTCCAGGAAGCCTTCCTTGAGCTCCTCTCAGACACCCCTCAATGCCCCTGTGTTTAGTTGTTTCCTTGACTCACTTTGCCCTGGACTCTGGATCCTGAGGGCAGGGAGCTATTCTGCCCTGTTCATACAGCATCCCCAGTACTTAGCACAAAGCCTGGTGCTCAGTGGCTGCTCAGATGTCTGTTGCCTTAATGATTCTGTCTGGCAATAGGAGACCATGTGAAGGCAGAGGAAGTTTCCCAGGTAAAAGAACAGGCACAGCCATCTTACTCTTGACCCCTTGGAACAGCAGAGCCTCCCCATGGCCTTCCTTCATTTGCTCCTGGAACAGTTTGTAGCAGGACCTGGGGCTGGCCAGGAGCAGCCAGAAGCCCTGGAGGCAGAAACCCTGGGGTCAGAGGTCAGCTTTGCCCCTGGGTCTCCTAAGGAGGAAGGCTCTGCTGAGGGTACGGGGAGTGTGGGTTTGGACCTGGGCAGGCCGCCTTTTACATGCCCCCTCCTGGGGGTGAGGGAAAAACAGAGTCAGGAAGGTAAGGTCAGTCACCCCCAGGCAGAGGCAGAGCTGTGTTTGGAAACCCAAGAAGAAGGCATGTGGCTTCCTCCAGGGAGCCCCCCGGATTGCACCTTCTTGTGCACTGGAACGAAGCTCAGGAACTCATCCACGTGGCCCACAGACAGCCAGTCAGAGTAGAGTTTCACAGGGGCCTGCACCTGCTGGGCACTGAGGAAATCCTGCAGGTCCTGGTGCGTGTCCTGGCTTTCCTTGCTGCCAACGCCGGGTTAAAGGAGTGTTATGGGGAGATGGGGGTGGGGGAGCCAACAAAGGTGGGGATTAACAAGGAAGTCTCTTCCGGACTGGGACTTGGCGAAGGGGTCAAGGTTCTCCTTCAGGGAAGGGATTCAGGACCCTGGGATACCTTTTTTTTTTTTTATTACATCTCCATCTTCATGAGAAGACCGGGCAGGTGACACACCTCTCATTCCCGTATTAGTTTCCAGCTGCTGCTGTAACCCAATTCGTGGCTTCAAACAACACACATTTATCTCTTACGGTTCTGAGGTCAGAAGTCTGAAATCAGTTTCACTGGGCTAAAATCAAGGGGCGGCATGTTGGTTCCTTTTGGAGGCTCTGGCAGAGAATCCATTTTCTTTCCTTTTTCAGCTTCTAGTGGCCACGTTGGCTGGTCGCCTCTTCTTGCATCTCTTCAATGCCCATCACTCCAGCCTCTGTTGCTGTCATCACATGCATTTTCCCAGCGCAACCCACCTTCCTCCCTCTCACAAGGAGCGCTGTGATTACATAGAGGCCACCCAGATCCTGAGAATCCCCATCTCAAAATCCCTAACTTAATCACATCTGCAAAGCCCCTGTTGCCATGTAAGACAGCGTCTGCTTCTGGGGATTAGGCCACATTTGAGGAGCCATCATGCGGTCTACTTACTGCACCTATAACTCGGCTTCCTACAAGTCGATGGTCTGTACCCTGGGGCTTCATGGGGGCCACAGACTCCCTGAAAACAGAATCCAAATAGTGAGCTTGGCTGCATTTTTCTGGGAAGATGACTAGTCTCAAGGAGGTCTGTGATAGCATAAGTCTAAAAACCATCATTTCCAAATCGTCCCTTTCTCTCTAAAACCCATGCCAACCTGACTTCCTCCCCAGCTGGGCCGTCAACACTGCTCCCTCGAGGTCTTCGTGGTCACACAGCTAAACCCAAGGGCAGTGCCCAGACTTCCTTGTCCATTAGCAGCATCTGAGTCAGCTGGTCACCCCCATGTCCCTCCCACACTTTCTGCACTTCGCTTCGGCCATTGCTCCCTCTCAGCCTCCTGTGCACTGGGGTCCCCAGACCCGGTCCTTGATTCACTCCCTCCTTTGACGATCTCACCCAGTCTCATGAAATACCATCCACGTGCTGACCATGCCCACGTTTATATCTCGGTCTGTATTTCCCTCCCAAACACCGTACATGTGGTACAATGTCTGACTTGGATGTTGACTAAATATCTCACATTTGCCCCAAGCAGAACTGCTGATCCCTGCTTCCCAGCTCCTTGTTCCCTGTTCCTCCCTCAGTCCTCCCATCTCAAGGGATGACACCTGCCACTCACAAGGGTCAAAACCTGAAGTCATCTAGGCTTGTCTCTCCCTCACAGCATCAGGAAATCCCATTGGCTCTGTCCTCAAAACATGTCCCAAATCTGGCTGTTTCTCACCCCCTCCCCTGCTCCCCTGGTCTGCAACCCCATCATCTTTCCAGTTACAGCACCAGCCTCATCCCCACTCTCCCTGCTCCCACCCTTGCCCCACTGCCGTCCATTCTCAGTGGGCAGCCAGAGGTTCTCTTTAGTAACATCAATCAGATCATAATCACCCTCTGTTTAAGACTCTGCAATGATTCCCCAGTTTCTCAGATTCTAAACAAATGGCTTTACGATGGCCAAGAAGCTCACAGGATCCGTCTCCCCACTACACCTCATCCCCGTCACCTCTCTGCCTCTCCTACCACTTTGCCTCTTGCTCACTCAGCTCCACCCCTTCAGGCCTCCTCGCTATTCTGTGAACATGCCAGGCATGCCCTGCCTCAGGGCCTTTGCACTGGCTGTTCCACCGCCCAGAACACTCTTCACCAAGATATCTACAGAGTCAACTTCTTCACCTCTTTCCTGTTTTTGCTCCAGTGTCAGCTTCTCAGAGAGGCCTCCCCTGACCATTTTATTTAAAATTGCAATCCAGTCCCCCCACCACTCTGGCACCTGTGAGCCCCTTGATTCTGCTCTTTCTTTTTCTGTAGTACTTGATTTCACCTCCCAACATATAATGTAATGTATTTATTCACTAAACATATTGTTCCTTGTCAATCTCTCTGGGCTAGAATGTCAGCTCCATGAGGGCAGGGGCCTTGGCATTGCTCACCAATAGATTCCAAGTGCCTAGAACAGGGCTGGGCACAGAGTATGTGCTCAAAGAACATTTGATGAATGAATAGCAAATTCATCCAAGTCACTGCCCTGGCTGTCGCCATGAGAAGAAAGCTACCTAGGCTGCAGACTTGGATTTCTGCAGGCGAATGAAGGGGTATCCATGGTCTGGAAAAGGGCCCCCCAACCCAGAGCAAGATGTGCAGGAGATGCTCACATGTGCTACTCGCTACAGATTCCAGCACAGGCTTAGAATGTGTCCAAGTTCTCCTCCAGTCTTTCTGGTCCATCAAAGATGAAAGTCCCAGAGTGGGTGATGCAAATCCATCCTTAACACCCACTAACCTCCCATCTTAACAAGCGGAGGGTGAAACCTGGTTCGGAGATTTTGCAGTCATTTGTGTGGAGCTGGATTTAATAGCACTCTTTTGTTTTCATTCTGTTTAACTTCAAGGTTCAATGCTTCTACTTATGGCAAGTGCTACTGGTGTTCCACTGACCGGTTTAAAATGTACTGATGTTGTCTTGTGGGAGAACACCCACCACGTGTAAGCTACATGCTAAGTGCCTGGTGTACAGTGATGGGCACTACGGCCCAGGCGTGCCCTTGTGGTGCTTCCAGTCTAGCAGGGAGACAGGATGGAAAGTAAACAGTCTGGTGATTTATAACAGAAGGAACCAGCAGTGCTACAGTGGAGAATGCCAGGGGCGTGGATGTGTCCTTCAGTACCAGGATGGCCTCACTAAGGAGGGCATTGAAGCTGAGACCTGAAGGTGGAGAAGCAGCCAGACATGTGAACCGGGAAGCTAACCGGGAAGCAGGAACAGCATATGAAAAGGCCCTGGGGCAAGCACAAGTTGGGTACATTTGAAGAACAGGAAGGAGGCCAGTGGGGCTGGAGCCGGGTGAGGGACAGGGAAAGTGGCCCATGACGGGGTTGGAGAAGCAGATGGGGCCGTTGCCTGGTGAGGAGTTTGACTTTTTTTTTTTAACATCTTTATTGGAGTGTAATTGCTTTACAATGGTGTGTTAGTTTCTGCTTTATAACAAAGTGAATCAGCTATACATATACATATATCCCCATATCTCCTCCCTCTTGCATCTCCCTCCCTCCCACCCTCCCTATCCCACCCATCTAAGTGGTCACATAGCACCGAGCTGATCTCCCTGTGCTATGCGGGTGCTTCCCACTAGCTATCTATTTTACATTTGGTAGTGTATCTATGTCCATGCCTCTCTCTCACTTCGTCCCAGCTTACCCTTTTCCCTCCCCATATCCTCAAGTCCATTCTCTATGTGTGCATCTTTATTCCTGTCCTGCCCCTAGGTTCTTCAGAAACTTTTTTTTTTTTAGATTCCATATATATGTGTTAGCATACGGTATTTGTTTTTCTCTTTCTGACTTACTTCACTCTGTATGACAGACTCTAGGTCCATCCACCTCACTACAAATAACTCAATTTCGTTCCTTTTTATGGCTGAGTAATATTCCATTGTATATGTGTGCCACATCTTCTTCAGCCATTCATCTGTTGATGGACACTTAGGTTGCTTCCATGTCCTGGCTATTGTAAATAGAGCTGCAATGAACATTGTGGTACATGACTCTTTTTGAATTATGGTTTTCTCAGGGTATATGCCCAGCAGTGGGATTGCTGGGTCGTATGGCAGATCTAGTTGTAGTTTTTTAAGGAACCTCCATACTGTTTTCCATAGTGGCTGCATCAATTTACATTCCCACCAACAGTGCAAGAGGGTTCCCTTTTCGAGGAGTTTGACTTTGATCCCAATTCTTTTCCTGAGTGATTTGAATACCCCAGACGAGAGTGGCTAAGAGACCGTCGCAGCCCCCCTCTTCCGAGGCTGTCTGTGGGTTGGGTGAGGACACCTGTGCTGCGGTGTCTGTCTGTCTGCCTGGCAGCTGGCTTGTGACGTCAGAGAGCCTAGCCTTCATCACTCTTGGAGACATGGCCACGGAACACAATAGGACTGAAATCAGCGAGAAGGGCCAAAGTCTCAGCACAGCAGGCAAATTCATCCTGTTGCTCCTGAAACAGGATTAACCTGATTCTGTGGCAGAGAGACACCAGTGACCCCAACTAAATCCCCTCATTGTCACCACTCAGCACAGGAGAACAAGCGAGTTAAACTCAAGTTTCTTTTCAAAGCCTCCTGCGTGGGCAGGGCTGCTTCCTTTCCCCTTGGGGCACAGGGTGCTCCTTGGAAAGCCATTCACCACAGCAAACCTTGCACCCCGCACTCTTTCCTTTGTTTTCCCTGGTGCCTGAGGTTAGGGGGCTGTCCAGGCTCAGATCGCAGGCCTGGGGTCTTACTGGGAAAGCAGGGAGCAGGGTGCTCATGGCCCAGTTTGAATTCTAGCTTCACTCTCTTTTTGTGTGACTTCAGGAAAGCTGCTTCACTTCTCTGAGCCTCAGTTTCTTCATCTATAAAAATGGGTCTAGGGCTTCCCTGGTGGCACAGTGGTTGAGAGTCCGCCTGCCGATGCAGGGGACACAGGTTCATGCCCCGGTCCAGGAAGATACCACATGCCGCGGAGCGGCTGGGCCCGTGAGCCATGGCCACTGAGCCTGCGCGTCCAGAGCCTGTGCTCCGCAACGGGAGAGGCAACAAAAGTGAGAGGCCCCCAAACAAAAAAAAAAAAAAAAAAAAAAAAAAAATGGGTCTAGTGATAGCATCTACCTTAGAGGTTGTTAGATTAAATGAGTCAGCTCATGTAAGAATTTAGCCCTGTGACTGCCACGGAACGCGTGCTCAATAAATGTAACCATTATTATTACTATTACTATTATTTTTCTTTGCTGAGTTTGCCCGAAACTGCCAGGTTAGTCAAGCATGACTCACTAATATGTCACCCTCGCCCCACCCCCCAAACACACGTAGGGACCTTGGCTGATAAAGTCACACCGAGGAAGTGACCACTCTGATCCTGAACACCCCCATGTCCCAGAGGGGGCCCCCCAAAGACCAGCCTCCCACCCAAAAGACAGAGCCTCCAGCTGGACATTGGGGAAGGCTCTGGTCCTGGCCCTACCCTCACCTTCCAGCAAGAGCATCTATTTTTTTTTTTTTTTTGGCTGCATTGCACAGTATGTGGGATCTTAGCTCTCCGACCAGGGATCGAATCCGTGCCCCCTGCAGTGGAAGCGTGAAGTCTAATCCACTGGACCGCCAGGGAAGTCCCAAGAGCATCTATGGAGAGGACTTATGTCCTCGGCAGGGTTTTCCTGAGGACAAAGTGAGCTCATGGCCAGAAAGGGCTTTGGGAAGGGAAGAGCCAGATCTCATCACATCACAAAAGTTCCCCGGCCACCTGTGTGGTGGCTGCTTGGGCAGGACGCACACCTGCAGGATGCTCAGCAGCAGGCGGGGGCGGGAGACAGAAAATGAGGAAGGAGGCCTCAAGGCAAGGGTTTCAGCGCTGGTGCGCATCCCCGCCTAGTGCATACCAGCATGCCTTTGATGGGGAAATCCTTCAGGCCTCTGTTCCTTGGGGAGGCAAAGACCACGGGCAGCGCTTTGTGCGGGGCTTGGACGTAGCTGATCTCCATCTCATCCTGTGAAGAGCGAGGGCAGGGGAGGCTGTTACGTGCGCTGCCTGGGTCTCAACCCCCAGCGCAGGGGTGGGGGTGTGGAACCATCCACACGCTCCCCCTTGCCGTCAAGGGCAAACGCACGTGGGACATTCAACTCCAGAGGAGGGGCTCCGGGAAAGCAGAGCTTACTGTCCTGTATTTGAACCAACGTGTAGTGGAATCAATGGCGTGCCCTTCACTCTCGCTCCCGGTAAGTGCCCGGCCAGATGCCAGGGACCCATGGCGTACAAGCCTGTCCTCAAGGGGGGATCCAGGAGCTGGGCACTCACCACCCGGTGCTAGGAGGTGATGGGAGGGAGGTGAGGGGTCTTCGGGAACACGGAGGAGGGACTCCTGATTCAGTTGGGACGGGTCAGAGGAGAGTTCTTAAAAAGAACCTACTTTACAGCACAGGGAACTCTACTCAATGCTCTGTGGTGACCTAAAAGGGAAGGGAATCTAAGAAAGAGAAGGCATATGTATATGTGTAACTGATTCACTTTGCTGTACAGCAGAAACTAACACAACATTGTAAAGCAACTATACGCCAATAAAAATTAATAAAAAAAGAGAAAGAGGGCTTCCCTGGTGGCGCAGTGGTTGAGAGTCCACCTGCCGATGCAGGGGACGCGGGTTCGTGTCCCGGTCCGGGAGGTATCCCACATGCCGCGGAGCGGCTGGGCCCGTGAGCCATGGCCGCT